CCGAGGGCCCGCCACACAACGCGCAACACGTGTCCTGGAGTTGATAATCGCACTGGGTCGCCCGCTCCTTGGTCCAACAAGCCCCGCAGACATTGGCTCTGATCGAGCCTTTCTCGAACGGCGTGAATTTCGAACTGCCGAGGTCGCGAATCACAGAATCATAAAAAAGCCTGGCTCCAACGCCAAGCTTCTCGCCTGACAGCTGGCATAGTTGACGAATGACAGCTTCCCGCAGAAGATTCTTGATCAATTTGGGGGAAGAGGTCGTGAGAGAGAAGGTGACGCCAAGGTCGTTCGTCACCTGCGCGTAGCTGGGCATGCTCCAGCCGATGCGCTTGAGGGACAGAAACATAGCGCCTATGGGGCCTCGCACCTGCCGCCAAGCAGTTGGCGGGTTGGCCCGCGTCTGAGTCCAAGCGTCGCGAAGAGCCGCGAAGCCTAGAGCAAAAGGAGTCTGCTGGACCTGGGCATCCCACAACTCCCTGGAATACCTGGCAATCGGAGAAATGGCAGCATGATAAACTGGGTCCCCTTCCAGAATACACAGTGATGTAAGGGACCTGGACCCCGCCGAAGGTTTGACAGACTTCCCAAAGCCAGAACGTAGCATTCCCAACTCATAATCAGAAACTCCATAAACCTCTGAACCATAAGTAACTGATGCCAGCGGCCCTGAAACAAAGATCCTGCGAGTGTGTCGGCCTAGAGCTTGACGAGCCTTTCGCACCCGTCGGCAACGGGCTCTAAACTGAGCCTGTCTAGCCTGGGCCTTCCTACCTCGACCTTTGGTGCGGCGAGCCTGTCCAGCACCATCATCGACGCCAAGATTGATTGCAGAGCTGGCGTCCGCCGAGGGGCCGCCGTGCGCCCCCAGAAACTTCTTCATTTCCTGGCCTACGTCGGCGTGAGAAGCCACTACTGCAGCCTTATCTGTAGATATGGTCGCCTCCATATCGGTCTCCAGGGCCACCAGGAGGTCCACCGAGGCCCGCTTCAAAGACGACACGACCGATTTCGAAGTCCCCGAACTCGATAGCCCATAGTCGTCTATGTATATATCTAAGGAGACCTGCTTGGGGAACCTGATGGGATCCACAGTTGGGATGATGTAAACCCTGACGTACGATGTCGCTATGCTACAGCCAGCTACCACCCCGTGCGCGGCAAAGTGAGGTCCATGAAGAAGACCTCCTAGCGATATGAAACGAGCCCCACGATAAGCCCTATAAGATACCCTGGCGATCTGCATCGGGAAATCGAGCAACTGGCAACGGTCGAGGAGCTTGGGAAGCCGAATCGTTTCGTAGAACTTATATAGGTCCCACAAGACTTTACAACAGCTCATCCCTCGACCGACTATATGTTCACTCTTCACTCCCTGACGATACACCACATCCGAGGCTGAGTTGAAAGAGCCTGAAGCCAAATAAAGACGCTGATGTTCGGCTTCCCATCGCTCAGCGTAAGGGCGCCGAGCGCGAGCCCACAGCCTATAGAGGGCCGAAAAAAAGCCCTATCGGGCGGTAGCCTCCTGCAGGCTTCTGAAGCAGTACCGTGAGCAGCACCTGGGCGGGGTGGGGCAACAGACTGGTGGCCCCCATCATCGAAAACATGGTGCTGACGGCAATCAGCAAGTCGGGATGCATAAAGGCGAAATGCCGCATGTGAAACCCATCGACGCTGGAAGCCGTGCCTAAAGCATAAGTCTTACTCACAGCTATCAAATCGTCCGCCGAGAGCACTTCCAAAGGCTCCAAGAACTCGAGGGGCTCCTGATCCTCAGGCGGCGGGTGCGAGGCAGACTCCCAGAGAGCCCCGAAACGTTCCCCTTCCGACTTCAGGAGGGACATGGGATCCGAGAGGACAAGCCGTCGGCCGACAGCGTGGTCGTGGCCACCCAGGGCTTCAGCTCGCGGGTCCAGCGGTGGGCGTTTTTCCCCCCTTTGTCGACGCCGTCCAGAAGCCAACTACGCCACTCCTTTAAAGAACGCTGTGAGGAAGACTTAGCATACTCTGCTAATCTAAGTTCAAGTTGAGCGTGAAACACTCGAAAACGTGAATCATCTTCGCAAACATCCTGAAAACCGTGTAGGAGTTCGCACCCAAGACGATAATCATCTTGAAACCCTTCCCAAGCACGTTGAACATGAGGAGGGGGATCCAGAAAATGGGCCCGATAACGCTTTAAAGCTCCAGAATCTCCAGAGTCGAAAGCCCCCAAGATAAACCTCGTAGTCCTTGACAACCACCTACCAGCAACTAGGCCAGGATCACGAGTCGGGGGTCGCGAATCTTTCTCCAGAGCCGAAACCCAGGCCAAACGAGGCCGGCGCCCACGGGAGCCCCAAATTATGGGCTCCGTCTGAAGGACCCTGGAGAACTCCCATTCAGCAGCATCAGCCCAGACTCGGTACAAAACGTCTAGGTGCTTCTGGATTTTGCCTCTGGACGCACGCCTCTGGATAAGCTCTCGCCCTTCACGGGCGCAGTCCAAAACGTGGGCGCGATCCTCCGTGCACGGCGCGGGGCCGATCGGACACTCTGCTGGCAACTTCGGCGGGCGGAGGAAAGTGAGGGCCTTAAGCTCAGCCAACTGCAAGTGGAAGAGAATGCGCACGGGCGTGTGCGTCTTGATGTCGCTACCGAGGACGGCGGCGACTTCCTGAATGCAGCGGGTAAAACCTGACGATAACACAAAATAGTCCAGGACTCGTAGACCCCCAGTACTAGAACATGTGCCGATATCAGGGTATATAACATTCGCCTTCAGATATCCAGGGACCCCCGAAGAAACCAGGACCTCTGGGATCATATTGAAGTCGCCGCCTATCACGTTTGGACCCTCGTAGAGCGCGTGCCTGGCCGAGACGGCCGCCAGTGTGTCGAGATTCCTGCTTGTAAGCTCTTCGCTGTCGTACAGGTAAACCGATGAGACCAAAACCGTAACGGCCCCTGGCACCTGGACGATTCCACTCATAGCCCTGGACGGGACGACGATCGGGCCGAACTCGGGATCGTGAAAACCCAGGAAGGAGCGGACCAAAATTGCGACACCTCCCGAGGTGCCTCCTGCTGCGGTTCGGATAGCTGGATTGAATCGAGATTTCCAACCCCTCTTTAGTGCCCATTGTCCTGCCTTGGCTACGTCGTCGTCCGATACGATGTGGTGCTCTTGCACGAGAACGATATTTGCAGCCGCGGTTACAAGCCACGCCTCGATGGAAGACCAACTCGTACAGTTCACCGTTTCGATCGACAACTGGAACGTGCAATCAGGGCAGGGGGGCACAGATAAAAACTTCGAGGGGTCAGAAGGAAAGTCGCCTCCTGGGGGCAACCTAAAATACTTAGAAGCGACGACAGAGGCCTCAGAGCTGGCCCCACACGCGTGGTGCAAGGCCTCACCCGACGACCCCGAAGTCGCCGCCGATGACCAGGTACTCCCAGTCGATCCAGACCAACATAATTTCGAAACCTTGTCGGGCTCCAGTGGGGATGAGGGAAAGGTAGCCGCTGGACTACCTTCTGCACGTGCGTCATGTCCCCCCTGCCAACTAGGCGCTGGCAGGGGGGCCTCCTTCTGCAAGTGGACCGAGAATGCGATCTGCAGCACCAAGGAGGTCCGTTGCTGATGACGAGGCCGACGAAGAAGGTGGCGCCCCCGACGAAGCAGCTGAAGAGGTCCTCTCGCCTCCGCCGCGCGCAGGCGGCGCCGCATCAGGCTTGGTTCCCCCGTCGCCGTCGCCAAGTGCCGCTGCTGCCGCCGCACCTTCAGCACCAACCTTACGCTTTTTGCCCAGCCTGCCGACATGAGCTGCATGGGCCTGCTTGAGCTCGTCGAACTTCTGCTTCGCTTCTCCAAACAACTGGCGTGCCGAAGCCTGGATGGCCTCCTTGAGCTGGGTCGTGCGCTTCTCCAGCTCCTGAGTGTCGGCCTCCTGCACCTCGTACACCGAACTGTCGATCCCGAACACCTCCTCCACGTTGGACATGTCCAGGAAGTCACTCTCGCCCGCCAGCAGGTCCTGCAGGGACACGCGTGCCTTCGGCTGGGCCGCTGGAGGCGGACAGACCTGAGTACGCAGCTGCTCCACCAATGTCTGGTACTTGCCAACCTCTGCGGCCAGCTCGCGACGAGTAGCACCGATGGACTCCTTCTTGTCGTGGAGCCAGTTGTACCACTTAGTGTACTGATCCAGATCATGCTGAAGCTTCTTCTCCAAGTGCTTGATATGACGATCGACCTGGTTCGCCTGAGCCTGGAGCGGCACTGGCGCATCGCCGACACGGCGCTTGTCAAGTCGATTATGGAGGGCCGTGGCGGCCGACGAGTTGCCCATCTTCTTGTTGAGGGAGATGAGCTGCTGCAGCTCCTCCTCGGACAGCTTGTCTTCGTCGCCGGCCACAGGCGGGGGGCTGGTGCCTCCCTGGAGGCCCACGGGCAGGACAGCCGACGTGGCCCCACTTGCTGCCCACTTGTCCCAGTCCGCCCAGGAGTCAGCCCAGGCGCCGCTGGGCGGCGGGGGCGCCGCTGCCTCCACCTCCTTGCGCTTGCCGTGGCACTGCTTGCAGAACCAGTATCGGGCCAGGTTCTTGCCACAGCCGCAAGCGCAACACTTCCAGTAGCCAGTCGCATCAGAATCGCGCCAAGGAGGAGGGCCCGCAGCAGACCAGCCTCCGCGACGACGAGACGGCGCCATGGCGGGCGCCAAGGGATGCGTGAGATTGCCTCTGATTCAGTCGTCTCCCGCGGGGAGACGAAACCTCAAGCGCCTCGGGACGGCACAGAGGCAGGCCCAAAAAAACTCGGGCCCCAGTTGCTTGAGGAGGGGGAGGAGGAGGAGGAGGAGGAGGAGGAGGAGGAGGAGGAGGAGGAGGAGGAGGAGGAGGAGGAGGAGGAGGAGGGGGGTCCCTCCAGCGAGAGGTCCCTCCTACGTCGAGTCGATCCTAAGCACTGCTGAGAGGTCGGGCTCCGGGGCTGCCGGCGCGCGGAGGGCCACCCGCAGGGCCGCGCTCCCCACGAGCACCAGGCGGCCGAAGCGGCTCCCGAGCGCGCGGCGGCAGGCGATCTCGACGGTGGCCACGAGCCTCTCGGGGGGGTCTCGGAGGAGGAGGGGCAGGAGGGAGAGGAGTGGGGGCGAGGAGGAGGAGAACCAGGAGGAGCGGAAGACGACGGGGGGGAGGAGCGGAGGAGAGGGCGGGGAAGCGGAGCACACGGCATTCCTGGCGCGGCTCGACAACACGACCGTGCGTCTTCGCCCCGCTGCGGCCCCACGGGTCCCTCGCTGCGGTCGGGGTGTTGTGAGGAGCGCTCGAGTTGGGTCGGGCATGTCCTCCCACAGGCGGAGCTTCGATGCAACAGCGGAGTCGGTGCAGCCAAAAATGTCAACACACGTGACAAGCATGTCGGGGAGTCGTCCCTCTACGACTTTGAAACTGTGTCTGAGCACTCCTCCTGTGGAGGGGCATGCCCGACTCAACGCTAGGGGCGTTTTCCCCGTTTTCCGAATTTTCGGCTTTTGGTCAACCTCAACGGAAATCAACGGCGACACGAAATATAAAAAAACGAGCGGCAGTACCAAGCGGAACCGAACAGAACACGGCGCGCCCGAAACTCCCAGGACGGAGACACAGAATCCCAGAACCAAAAACAAGCAAGCCGATCTTGAAAACGCCAAGGAAACGCCCCCCCCGTTTTAAACATCACCTGAGCCCAAGCGACTCAGACCTACAACATGGGGGAGCGAAATCTATACATATCCACTGCCCGAGGCCTGGCCCTTGCTGGGCACAGAGGGCGGCGCATATGCATCCCTGGCCCAGAGATGGGCCAGGCCTGGGCAGTGGATATGTATAGACCACGCCGCCCCATAACGCACTGGAGCACTCAAGACGGAGGATCTTCGCTGCTTCCGGCCTCTGGGGGCCCTCGTTGCGCCCCCGGGCCGCCTTCAAAAATGGCTCGGGATGAGAAGCCGACCCGGGCAGGGGCCCGGATCCGAAGGGACCCCACATAAAAAAACAGCACATGGGCGCTTTGGGCTAACAGTGTTCCTCCTCCTCCTCCTCCTCCTCCTCCTCCTCCTCCTCCTCCTCCTCCTCCTCCTCCTCCTCCTCCTCCTCCCCTCGGGCCACGCCGCCTGGTCTGCTGGCCCTGCGCGCGTGCCGCTCGCACCACGGGCCGAGCGGGCAGGGATCGCGGCGCAGAGCCGCTCCCCTGACACTTGACGGGCTGGCAAGATATCGAAGGCCTGTGGCAGAATAGTTGGATCTCAGCTGGGTCTAGGAGGCTAGCTCAGACGGTGGTGGCTAACCTGTGTGGTATGGCTGTCTACTGGGAGGTCGCTTCTCCTCCTCCTCCTCCTCCTCCTGCTCCTGCTTCTCCTCCTACTATCATACATCCCCCCACCACCACCGTCATCCTCATCCTCGTCCTCATCATCATCATCATCATCATCATCATCATCATCATCATCATCATCATCATCATCATCATCATCATGCCTGTGCCCCTGCCCCTCCTGACTGGGCATGTCCTAATGTATCCTCTTCCTCGTCCCCCTCCTCCTCGTCCTCCTCCCCAGCATCATCAACATCATCAGCAGCGTCAGCATCAGCGTCAGCATCAGCATCATCACTATCATCACAATAACCCTGCTCATCATCTCATTGTCATCCGCATCACCACCACCATCATCATCACCATCGTCGTCATCAGCATCAACATCATCAGCATCATCATCATCAGCATCATCATCATCATCAGCATCATCATCATCATCATAATCATCATCATCATCATCATCATCGGCATCATCATTATTACCATTATCATTATCGTCGTCGTCGGCGTCGCCATCCTCATCATAATTATCATCATCCTCACCATCGTCATCACAACCACCACTACCACCACCATCACCATCACCAGCACCATCATCGTCATCCCCGTCACCCTCATCACCCATATAATAGTCCCTCTCTGCTCAAGACCCTCATCATCATCATCATCAGCAGCGGCATCATCATCGTCACTGGCATCAGCATCGTCTTTGCCAGCATCACCATCATCAGCATCACCACCGTCAACAAAAACATAATCATGATCACCATTAACAGCATCATTAGCATGACACCGACATAATCAGCACCGTCGTCGCCATCATCCTCACGCTCATCAGTGTAAACAGCAGCATCATCACCAGCATCACCAGCAGCATCATCAGTATCACCATCATCATCACCATTTCCATCATCCTCCTCACCATCCTCCTCTTCACCATCAGCATCACCATCATAAGCTTCATAATCACGCTCATCATCATCATCATCATCCTCATCATCATCATCATCATCATCATCACCATCACCATCACCATCACCATCACCATCATCATCATCATCATCATCATCATCACCACCACCACCACCACCACCATCATCACAGAGGCAGCGGCAGCGGGCGCGCGAGGGCGCCCCTGCTGAGTCTCGCGGAGCTGGTGCGTGGTCTGGTCCATGGCCGCGAGGAGCTCCATGAAAAACATCTTGCAGGGTCAGGAGTCCACTCATCGTCCCCCTATCTCGATGCGTTCCCCATAAAAAGCACACTGCCAACACCGCCTCAGACAAGCTTGCCTCTCGGAAGCTTCAGCCACCTCCGTATAGAGGACCGCCGCATTCCTCCAAGGAAGAGACGACAACTCTTTCGGTCCTTCGAAGAAGAGGCCCCTTGTGGAGCGCCCAACTGGTGTATATATATATATACATACATAGAAATATAAAAAGAGAGATGGACAATGAAATGAAAGGGAGAGAGAGAGAGAGAGAAACAAAAAAAGAGGGAGAGAGCGAGAGAGACATGAAAACATGAAGAACAATGAAAGCAAGACGTAGACAGAGAGAGACACAGCAACAGGTCTGATCATTCGGACTTCCCCGCAGCGGCAGGAAGGGGGGGACCAACGCCACTCCGAGCAGTCTGCAAGGCGCTCCGACAACTCCTGTTGGTGCTGCTCTTCTTCCATCGGCAGAGTACTCCAGCTGTGAGCAGGCGAAGACTACGCCTGGCTATCCCGACCTCCCCATGCCTCCCTGGCCGGCGCCGATCCGAGAAGTCTGAGAAGGCGCTCCCGACAGTTCATCTCCATGCTGCTCTTCTTCGAATGGCAAAACGCTACAGCTGTGAACAGGAAAGGACTGCAATAAGTGCAACTGTGTGGGCCATGCGCACTTGAAACAAGAGATCGCCAGCTTCCCAACTGATGGGAAGGGGACCCCTCGATGCTACAGCTTCGCACCGAGGCCGGCACAACCAAGGCAAGTCGGCGAGAACGTGGGGAGGAGGAAAACGAGACGATGACGACGACGAGGACGACAAGCGGACCGGCCACGAGGCCAGGAAAGGCGAGAAAGACGAGGGACACGAAGAGGAACGACGAGAGGGGGACGTCGGCTCATGAGAGCTCAGGACTAGGCCTGACTATCCCGACCTCCCAACGCCCCCCCTGCCCCTCCCAGACCCCCGACGTACTGATTGCTTCGTGACGTCGGCCCCCAGAAGTTTCGACCTGCTCCCCGGGACCCGCTGTTCGTCCTGAGTCGTTGTTTGAAGGTCCCGAAGCCCTGTAAGGGCCCCCAGAGGCAGATTTTTTAATTACCTAACAGCTTTTGCTGATAGGTTTCTAGTGGTGTCAAAAAAACATCATGACTCCTCAGGGGGGTCTGGGCGGGTGCCGGGGAGGAGAACCGGGAAGCGTTTTTCGCCAACAGTCACACACTTCGTGCTCTTCGACCTTCCAGAACTCTATTCCCGGGACACATTCTGGAAAACCGGGGGCAGAGCCGGGCTCGCTTTTCGCCAACAGTCATACACTTCGTGCTCTTCGACTTTCCAGAACTCCATTCCCGGGCCACTTTCTGGAGAACCGGGAGCAGAGCCGGGCTTGTTTGTCGTCAACAGTCACACACTTCGTGCTCTTCGACCTCCCAGAACTCCATTCCCGGGCCACATTTTCAATGCCCGGAACCAACTGTAGGCCACTTCGTGCTCTTCGACCTCCCAGAACTCCATTCCCGGGCCACATTTTGGATGCCCGGAGCCAACTGTAGGCCACTTCGTGCTCTTCGATTTCCCAGAACTCCATTCCCGGGCCACATTTTGGATGCCCGGAGCCAACTGTAGGCACTTCGTGCTCTTCAAGTTCCCAGAACTCCATTCCTGGGCATGATTTTGAATGCCCGGAGCCAACTGTAGGCCACTTCGTGTTCTTCTAGTTCCCAGAACTCCATTCCTGGGCCACATTTTGAATGCTGAGGCAGGCTGATGCTGCGGCCGAGGCAGGCTGAGGCTGAGGCAGGCTGAGGCTGAGGCCGAGGCTGAAGGCAGACTGAGGCTGAGGCTGAAGCAGACTGAGGCTGAGGCTGAGGCAGGCTGAGGCTGAGGCTGAAGCAGGCTGATGCTGAGGCAGGCTGAGGCTGAGGCTGAGGCTGATGCAGGCTGAGGCTGAGGCAGGCTGAGGCTGAGGCCGAGGCTGAAGGCAGACTGAGGCTGAGGCTGAAGCAGGCTGAGGCTGAGGCTGAGGCAGGCTGAGGCTGAGGCAGGCTGAGGCTGAGGCTGAGGCAGGCTGAGGCTGAGGCTGTGACTGCGACTGCCGTTGCCGCTGCGACTGTCATCGCGAATGCGACTACGACTGCGAGAACAGCAGAATTCTACAACTGGATTTTCATCTGAATCTTAAGGGGAATGCTTTCAGATATGCTTCTACATATCGCTGTTAGGTTGCTTTGCTGGATTTTTTTAAGAAAAAAAAACTCCGCCATTATTTGTCCATTGCTCGAGGGGGCCTGGGCTCCTCGACGCGCGAGAGCCGACGGCGCCGCCGAGCGCGAGGGCGGGAGGCGGCGCGGCGCGCGAAGCGCGGGCCGCCGCGCCTCCCCGGAGTGGGCCTGGTGGGGCTGCAGCTGCGGCGCGGGCTGCAGCTGCAGCTGCCGCGGGGCCGCTGCGCCGGCCGCCGGGGTCGCCAGGTCGGCCAGCGGCTGGCGAGGGGCCGCCTCTCCCGGGGAAGGCCAGGCTGGGGGAGGGGCCGTCCCAGAGCCGAGGCCGCTGCCCTGGCCTCGATGTCGCCCTCTCGGCCCTGCTGCTATGTCGGGCCTGTGCTCCCAGAGGGGGATCTTGGACGAAGAATAAAAGATATGCAACAAGTATCCCAAGCAGGTCAATAAATACCATCGAAAAATCGTCCCCTGACTATTTTTTGAAATCTTTGAAATTTCCTCCTGTAGAGGGACAGGACCGACTAAACCCTACTGGGAGGCTTTCGTCGCCGCGGCCAGAGGGACAGGCCCGACGAAGCCTTGCTGGGAGGCCCTCGTCGCCGCGGCCGGATGCGCCCCGGAATGCTACTCGGATGCGTCCCATGGAGAGGTCGATGGGAGGGAGGAGGAACAAGGCCTAAGTCGGGCGTGTCCCCCTACAGGGGGATCTTCGACGAAAAAAAAGAAATACCAAAAAAATACCCCTAAATGGGTCCCCAGACTCTTGTTTACTACTTTTAAAAGTATTCCCCCTGTAGAAGGACAGGCCCGACTTAGAACAAGGCCCAGATCGCCGACGGTGCGATTTTTCATTCCTGGCGTTTTGACTCGGCTTCAGCCTCTGAGGGCCGTTCTCGGGCCACGGGGCCATAAAAACAGATCAGACAACACGCAGCACATAGAATCAAGCACATACATTATAGATTTCGAGTGCAAGTAACGTGTGTTTACTGCGAAGAGGAAACACCCGCCGAAAGAAGAAGAAGAAGCGAAGCACAACATACACCAAACCATAACGCAATTGCTCGGAACTGTGGCAATGGTCTGTATGGTTGCGTTACTGTCTTTTCTTGCGCCCGTGGTGCAGCGCCCGCTGCCGCATGTAGGGGGCCACATGCGAACCCTCCCCCACCCTCCCCCTCAGAAATCGTGGGCGGTAGGGGTAGGGTTCGCATGTGCCCCCCGAGCATGCTTGCCATCGCCAACACCATTTTTGTCCACGTGGTCGTAGTTATGCGGGTGAGGCCCTCCGCTGACCAGCCGCGCCGGCGCGTGAGGTCAGCCGTCGGTATCGCGATGCCCGGCCGAAAGTCGGCGCTTGCCGTGCACACCTGGTAGATGCGGTCGGGCGTCGGGACGCGCTGCTCGCCGCAGTGGTCGCCAGTGGTCGCCGGTAGTCGAGACGTCCTCCCTCCTCCCCCGGGTCGGACTCCAGCAGGGCGCCCGAGACCACGCAGCCGCAGAAGACTGCTGCGATGTGTGAGGCGAGGAGTGGGTCGGCTTTCCGTGCTTCTGTGCTGAGCGCACGGCAGCAGGTGGGAAAGGTACTCTGGCCGCCGCCGTTGAACTTTTCCGCTGTTTCTGGCCCTGCATGATTGCTCACTCGTGGGTTCTGTCGGTGGGGCGAAGCTCCCCTTCCAGGCCTCTCCAAAAGCCGTCGTCGCTGCGCTCCACTCCTAGTGAGCCCAGGTGGGCACGGTAAGCGCGGAGTGGCCCACGTGTGTCGGTGATGATCGTGATCTTGTCCTAGAGTGCGAATGCTCCAGGTCCCTGTCGTCGTAGCCTGCAGGACAAGAGTTGCAGTGCTCGCCGGCACAAGTGGTACCGTAGGTCGGTGCTGTGCTCCAGCACTACCAGCAGGAGTCGTTCGGGAGCTGCCCGAGGTCATTTCCGTAGGGCCACAGCCCTTCGTGCTTGTTGAACATGCTCCTTGATTGCGCCCTTTGTCGGCGGTGTGACCACCAATGCCCAACTCGACACCGGCAGCGCGATGGATACCACCGTGGTCGTGCGCAGCCGCATGCTCAGGGGCAGGGCCTCCTCAAGCTTGCCTCGCTCCCTGTTGGTGAGTGTGACGCGCTTCATCGTGAAGTCGATTCCGAGACATTTCATCATTTTGCTCCGCAGGTGGTGGTTGTCGCACTGGTGTGGTAGATTTGAGCCTTGATGTCGTTGGCGCGCAGCGCAGTGACCGACTCCAGCAGCTCCCACTCCTCCTCGATGGTCCGTAGTTCCTCCCCGTCTGGCGTGGCCGCCAGGAGGGGGTCGCCACCGCATCACGAATGAATCCCAACCGACTGGCACCAATTCCAACAATCCGTGCCACTTCCCACCAAGCCAGAAAGGAAAATCAACGGGTACCAATACAACCAGCCACCTTAAGCCGCACAGTAGGACTCTAAGTGTCGAGCTTTTCAACACGATTCAGAAGCCAAATGAAGCTGTCAAGCGAAACTGTTCAGAAGCCACCTTAAGCCACACAGTAGGACTCTAAGTGTCGAGCTTTTCAACACGATTCTGACAGACAACATAAGTGCCAGAGTTTGAGTTGGTACTAGTTTGCGTTCTTCCATCTGGGAGTTGTGTTCTTTTGACAATGATCAGCGGTCACCAGTCTTACAGGAGCTTTACGGTTACCGTATGAGACCTGGACAGCTTTCGCACGACAGCTGCGGCATGTGTCGCGTTAGTTGGTGCTCATATCAACGTTGCACATCCCTGTGAGAGTTGT